GCCCGGAGCGACGGTGCAGGGGGGCGCGAGAGCGGCCGCGGGCACGGCAGGCGCTGGGGCGCGCGGGGCGCCAGCTAGCTGGGCGCCTGCTGTCATAATTTGGGATGGTGGGGAGGGCCGCAGCGCATGTGTCAAGAGCAGAGGCCGGCACGGACAGGCGACGTACGAAGCATGGCCGCCACAACGGGGGCGACAACAGGGCCCAGCAGCAGCGCACGAGCGTGGCCCAGCCTGCAGATGCCAGGCGGCAGGCGCTGCGCACCTGCCATCCCGTAATCGGGCCTGATTCCCGGGGGAAGCATGGCCGCTCGGGCGCCGGTCGGCAACCGAAGCTGGCCCCTAGCGCAAGCGGCCCCTTGCGCGACGTGAGCGCGGCCGTCCTGAGAAGGTGGTGTACCCCACTCTAGGACACCGCCTGGAACAATTGAGCTGCGAAGACGATATGCTGCCTTGCCATTCCCTCCTTGCCCTTGTCTCAAAAGTGAATGATGCTTTCTTCACCCCGAGTGATCTGGGATTCCAAAACCAAACAAGGCGGCTTGGCCTAATTTTTGGAGAGGTCTTCTAAACCTTTATTGTATGTCACCGTGCCGCACCCGCGTGGCTGGGACCCAAGCGTGGAGTTCCGAAGTCGCCTTGCACAAAGTTGCAGTCTGTTCTGCGACCCTTACGTATGCGAAGATGTTTTTTATCCGTCCGCGTTGATATCATACCACCACCACAAGAGCCGCTAGGCCCGCACCTCTCGCCGAGTGTCCGGAACGTATCTCACGCAGGTCCTGGGATTAGCTCAGTGGCAGGCCGTCAGAGGGACACAGAAATCTATATACCACGCATGGAGGGCGAGGTGGACCCCAGGTGGCTGAGCTGGGCCCCATCAACAGGCTGCGCGTGAAATGGCGGTCAATGGCTGTACCCCAACTAGAGCGGGACCCCACCAAGCACGACTCCAATGATTGGAATCATGCCAAGGTGGCCAGCGCATGCAGCGGGATTTCCCCCTGAGGGATCTGGCTGCCGACACTCCACGTCTCCCGCGCACAGGGATGCTCCTGTGTGCGCTGTGTGCAGGCAACGAGAGTCTACGCGCTACTGCTGCAACGACCGCGCCTTCCTGTGCACGGGTTGCTGCGACGCGGCCCACGCGGGGCTGCCGTTCGCGCACACGTTTGTCTCGGCTCGGAAGGCGCTGATGCAGGTGGGTGCCGTGGCGGCAGGTGTGGCAGAGCTTGCAGTCGGCCGGTACGTAAGAACTGTTGAAGTGGTTATCATGATCCTGGGTTGTGCGCGCACGTCGCGACGATGCTGGGCGTCGGTTGCGCTGCGTCAGCTCCGCACCAACAAAGGCGGCCAGCCCCCTTGCGCCGGCAGGGGGTGCGGGGGCGACCCCACGCCAACTGGGCGTTCATTAACGGCAGCCCTCACGCGCGCGCTTGTCACCCTACCGCAGGGTTGGTTTGCTGCGCAGCCTACGCCCACGCTGGCCCCCTCTGCGGACCAGTCAGCTTCCAGCAGCGCACCCTGCGCACGGCTGCCCCCCGCCGCGGCCGGCCCCTCCTACAGTGCTCAGCGTGTCCCCACCAGCCGCGACGACAGCGCCGCGCTGGCGCACATCTTGCGTGGCAAGGAGGGTGGGGCCCGGACGCGGCAGCTGGAGGCCGGCAGCGCGTGGCTCGACCGCCTGGACTTGGGGTTTGACATCGATGACATCATCGCCGACCTGGCCGCAGATGACGCAGCCACCGTGCCCGGCGGTGCCCGCGCATTCCATGGCGGCGGTGACAGCACAGACGATGCAGGGGTCGTGCCCCAGGGCCAAGCTGCGACAGCGGCAGCCTCGGCGATGGCGGCGGCAGCAGCGCCGTCTACCCTGCGGCCCCAGTCTTCCGACGAGTTCTTGGCAGCTCTGGGCTTTGATTTTGCGGTGCCGACCATGCCGGGCGATACACCAGCAGCGGCACAGGCGTTGGCGTCGGCATCGGCGCCCACCGCTGCCGCCGCCGCAGCAACTTCGATGCCGCAGCAGGCGGCAGCACTGCAGCATGCGCAGCAGCTGGCACTGCAGCAGCAATGCGCGGCGAAGCAGGCGGCACAGCAGCGCCTTGCGCAGCAGCACCAGCACCAGCATGCTCATTTGCTGCAGAAGTTGGCAATGCCGCCTCAGCCGCTGTCGCTGCTGCCGCTGCAGCAGCAACAGCACATGATGCAAGCTGTGCCACAGCCCTCGCAGCACATGGCTTACTTCATCCCCAGCAAGCAGCATACTTCTTACCAGCAACAGATGATGGCGGCGTATCACATGCAGCAGCAGTGGCATCAGTGGCAGCAGCAGCAGCAGCAGCAGCAGCAGCAGCCGCAGCAGTTGCAGCAGGTGCCAAGCATGATGGTGCCTCAGGTGGGTGTGAATCACATGCAGCCCCAGGTGGTGCCCATGGCCGCCATGACGCCAATCGTGGCACCCCCGTCGCTGGCTCTTCAGCCACCTGCACCGCAGCAGCAGCCGCAGCAGCAGCAGCCGCCGCCGCCGCACCAGCAGCAGCAGCAGCAGCAGCAGCAGAAGCAGCAGCAGCAGGAGCAGCAGCAACAGCAGCACCATGAGCTGGCCTGGGCAGATGACGAGGAGTGCGGTGCAGGCCAGACGACGGGCGCAGCCCCGGGCGCTGGCGCCGCGCCCGCGGCTGCAGCGGCTGGCAGCGAGAGCCTGACGAGGGAGCAGCGCGTGGCGCGGTACCGCCGCAAGCGCGCCCGCCGGCAGTTCAAGAAGATGATCCGCTACGCGACGCGCAAGGCATACGCCGAGGTGCGGCCGCGCATCAAGGGGCGCTTCGTCAAAAAGGTGAGGGCAAGAGGGGAGTTGCTTGAGCGGGGCTGTGGAGGGCTTATGTGTGAATAGGCTGCCCTGCGCTTTGCGGGCGCTGCTCTGCAGCCCTGCTTGGGGTCCCTCCACCCTCAGGGCTCCTGGCCTGAGCCTTGCGCCACACCAAGCACAATCATGCTCTCGCGGCCCAGTGCCGCACACGGGCTCACGCTCACCCGGCTGCCCCTTCGCTTCGCCTGTCGCCAGGACGAGCTTGACGCGTGGCGCGCCGCAGAGCGCGCCATGGATGCAGCAGACCTGGCCGCCAGCGCCCTGCAGCCCCAGGACCCGGCCGCCGCATCAGCGGCATCCGCCGCGGCTGCCGACGACTTGCCTGGCGTGGTGCCTGTGATGTGATCTGGGGGTGTGAAGCTGCTTGTCGGTTGATGTTTGCTGGGTGGTGTTCTTAGAGGTTGTGGGCCACGTGGGCTGGTCAGCGGCCTTCGTTGTTGTCGCGTGTGCGTGGGTGTGAGCCGCCACGCTACTAATCGGCGCAGCTCCCGCCTGCCATGCTGTGCCAAAGACCTGCCGGCACATGATTACCCAGCACAGGTCGCTCTGCTGTCTTCCTTGACTTGTGGGGTTCTTAGCACAAGCATGGCGCGATGGAGGCGGTTGGCAGTGAGCGTCGCTGCGGCCGCCTCATTTGCCGGCTCTCGCATCGTCCCGTTGCCCTCCGCTCGCCCCGTGGCGTCACGTCGTGGTTGGACAGATCTGAGCGGGGGTGCTGCGGCCCGTCGGCATGCGCCCTGTGTGATACCCCTGCTCCAGGCGACTGGCTTGTCGTGTCCTTGATGGCGGCTTGGTTTGCTTTGTACATGCGCGGCTGAGTGGTGGCTATATCAAGAAACGACCAGCGCCCCAGCTGCACGCTTCGCTTGGAAATGAGGGACATTGTTGTGTTGAAGGTTTGGACCAGGACGTGTCTGTGTTGGGACGCACACTGCCTAGAATCACTCTGGAAAAGACACGATGTATACTATCTCAGCCCCTCTTGGTTGCATCTTTACATGAGCTTACGGTTGTGGTTTGCGGCGGCCCATGCACGAGTTTTTGCGAGCAGTGCGCGCTGGTCGGTTTTTGCCGCCTTGTCGGGCTTCCTCTGGCGGGGCATAACTCCCATCATGGTACCCACCCTCTCGCCGCCGCAGCATCTTGGACCCTAACCTCGGCCGTTTTGAATAAGCTGTCTGCGGCAATGTACGCATGGTCGTGTGATACCTCAAGGCATGACTTTGTACCGCCAACCCACATCGGTGGAGTGCACGAAGCTTTCCCTCGAGGGCAGTACGTTTTTACGGTTCTTTTGCCAGAAGATTTGCCGGAGTTCAGCAAGAACAGAAGACCACACGTATATCCTTGCATGCAGTGAGGCTTGTAATGGCTTGAAGCTGCGACTGATGCTGGTTCAAGTGCCCGCTGCAGATTTGTCTCAATGGCTATGCCAGCATACTGGCATCCGTGAGTTCTCTGTCATGGCTCGCTTTCAAGTAATACTGGGCCAGCGCCTGCGACTGCGACCATCATGCTGATAGCAGGAGCCTGGGCAGCAGGCAGAAACTTCCTGGAGGATGCTTCACCTGCCACGCGTATTGTTGTGGCCCTTCACCGCCAGCTACCTTCACGTAGCACAAGCAGTAAGGCACTTTGTTCGTTGGTTAAATAATTTCGTCTCGATAGACACTGCAGGCCCAGATCACAACGCCCTGCTGCTCAGGACTTTCTGCGAATCGTTCCAGGAAGCAGTTTGACTTTCTCAATCGAGTGCAGCTTGCTTGTACCACGCCGATAGAGTCCCAGGCTGCAATAGCCAGCCAGGCAGCCCCCAGCCCTGTCAACCTGCCACAGCGCTCTGCTAGGCAAGCAATCGGCACGTTGGGAGCCAGAGGGGCCGGCCAGCAGGGCCAGGCAGCAGGCTCCCGCCAGCATGGCGAGCGAGTTTGTCGCGGAGTACAGGGACCTGCTCGCTCAGCTCAAGCGCAATGAGAAGCGCGACATCAACTGCCTCTCTATGCTGGCGGAGGACAACAGGCAGCACGCTCCTGCCATCGTTGACGCCATCGAGCAGCACATCCTGGTGGTGCGCACGTTGCTTTCACTGCATGCGCGGGCAGGCACACCTCGATGACCTTTCATGCATGCTGGTTGTATCATGTGAAGAAGATGTCAGCAGCTTGCATGGGCGGCTGAGCACCCGGCAGGCCGCGGGGCCGATGTGGCATGGTGGCTGCTGCTGTGCAGGGGATCACAACCATAGTGAGACGGCACTCACTCCAAGTGCCCGCCCTGCACTGCTCTGCACACCAGGCGCCGGGCCCTGTCAAGCTGCCGGCCCTGTATGTCCTAGACTCAATCGTCAAGAACGTGAGGGAGCCCTACACATCTCTTTTCTCGCAACGCCTGCCCGAGGTGCGGCAAACAGAATGGACGGTCAAGCGCCACTGGGGGCGCGATGCATCGTGCGTAGTGGCCCCTGGGCACTAAACCCTTACACCACCTGACCAAGCGTGCCGCATGCTTGATCCTGCAGCGCACGTTCTCCCTTGACTACACTGACATGTGGGCACTCCCGTCTTCACGCACACCAGGTGTTTGGGTCAGTCTGGGACTCCACGCTGCCCGACAAGCGCGCCTCTCTGGGGCGCCTGTTTGCCACCTGGACTGGCGTCTTTGGCCCAGACGTCCTCGAGCGCGTCAAGGTTCACATGGCTGCGCCCGGTGTGCCTCAGCTGCTGCCGCAGCAGCCGCAAGTGCTGCTGCAGCCGCAGCCAGTGCAGGTCTTCCAGGGCGGCTACACTGCCACTGGCACCGGGCCAGCGGTGGTGACACTGCCGCCAGGCGCGTATGTCAGTGCCATGCCGCAGCCCGTTGTGTCGCTGGCGCCGCAGCCTTTCGGCTCTGGCGGCGGCGCGCCGATACAGGTGCAGTACCTGCCTCCTGCGCAGGTGCAGCAGTACGTTGCGCCCCCACAGGCCGTTGCCGGCCTAGTGCCGGGCATGCAGCCGCCCCCATCGCCACCGCATGCCGGCTGGCAGCAGTCGCAGCCGGCGCTTGACCCCAGGCTTCGGCGGAGGTCGCCATCACCAATGATTGTTGGTGGCTGGCCTGGCCAGCAGCAGCAGCAGCAGCAGCAACAGCCGGGTGTCATGCCTGCGCAGCTGTCGGACCTCCTCAGCAGCCTGGCGCAGACAGGGGTCCTCAGGGGCGCGCCGCCGGCATATAACCGAGAAGACCCCGTGCTCAGGATGACCGAGATGACTCCTGCTTACATAAAGGTGACAGTCGCCGCTGACCCGCCTCCGCTACCCCGCACCGCCCGCCCTGCCTGCTTGCGCACGCCCTCGCCCCTGTCCCCGCAGGTCGGTCATGCAGAGCGGTGGGTACAAGGCGCCCTTTGGCTGCGGCGGTGTCTTGGCCGCATGTTGCTGCATGAGTTCCACCTCTTGCAATTGATTGAAGCACGCACGCATCAGAACGCAGCGTACCGAGATTGGTATGCAGGGAACGTTTCAACAAACAGCTGTTGTAAGAGCGCGGAGCGCGCGACCGCGGGGCGGCCACAGTCGCAGCGGCATGTCGCCGCGTGCTGTGTGTGGTCGCTTGTGTGGCAATGTTGGAGCCAGTGCTGGTGTGGCTCACAGACACGAGGAGCTGCAGGGCTCAGCAGAACAGAGGCCAATCACAATCAGCACCCAGCACACCGGCAGCATAGCTTACTTGTGGCGGTGCGCATCGCTTTGAAGGGTGCAGCGCTGCTTCAGCATATCAGCTTACTAACCACAATTTGACTTCTCTGCCAAAGTCGCAGGCTCGCAGGAGCAAAGAATTGCTCCCCATGTTTCGGTGACACAGCCCCGACGGGCTCTAGGAGTAATTTGTGCGAAAAATAGGGAGAAAGTATGAGCAAATCGTCGCCCAGCCTCAGCTAGCCGGCTGTCTAATTACGTAATCTGTATATTCAGAGTCCGGGGCTCCCTGAGGCCTCAACGCGGATCTATCCGCCCTGATCCCACTCTGTCGCAGGAGACTCATGAAGGCGTGATTGCAGCCCTGGTGGAGGCCTCGGCCAAAACGCGCGGCGCTTTTCTTGACCTGGCGTTCTTACGCAAGCAGCGGCAGCGCAGCGGCGGAGCGTCCAGCCGGTCGTGGTATGTCACTATCGACCATTGGCTGACAGGCACGGTGGCGGCGACAGAGGCTGCAGCTGCGTTTGGCGGCGAGGAGGTGCGCTAGACCAGATGCGCTGTCCCTCGAATGAGCTTTCGACCATCATTGATTTCGTTTTTGCTGCAGAACTCAGTGGGGTGGAGACACTGGGGCAGAAAGGGCCACCACATCCTACTCAGTGGTCGCGTTGGGTTTTGCTTTGCAGGGCTTGAAAAACCTGTGCACTGATCCTATGTTCGCCTCCTGCACCTGGTCGCCCGCCTTGCAAAGGAGGAGCCAGCGACCGAGGAGCTGCCTGCGTTGGAGCCGGAGGACCCCGCCCAGCCCTGCTGCGCCATAAGTGGCGAGCCCTTTGACAAGGTGTGTGTTTAGTTTGGCTGCGTGTATCAGCGCATGAAAATTTTCGTGGAAGCTGCGTAATACACGAGCTTCTGGCTGCTCAAATGCTCAAGAGACTTGCACAGGTGGCACAAAAACCATGAAGCACTCATGTCAACCCCCGCACAACCGCACGTGCGAGCACGCGAACACACACATGCAAATTCTCAACATTTACCCACTCATATATGCCCACATACACACTCGCACACACATGAACACACAGACAGACAAAGACACATACCTGCCTGCATGCACCGCGTGCATACGCGCGCACACTCCTTGTTATTCAAACACACACAAAACACACGCATGCGCATGCACGAAAGCACGCTCCGAATAACCCCTCAAATACAACGTGTGGCCAACTCAATTTGACAGGTTTACGACCAAGAAAAGGAGGGCTGGTTTTTCAAGGGGGCGCGCCGCCTCACTCCCGACGAGGCGGCGGCGCACGGCGTGCCAGGCGGCTCGATCGTCAAGGTGTCCGCCCTGGCGGAGGCCACGCACGCGCCTGGAGACGCCGCGGGTGCCGAGCTGGATGCGAGCGGCCTGGCGGCCGAAATTGCGGCGGCAGCAGCGGGCGCGGGTGCACAGGGCGCACAGCAGGAGGGCGGGGCCGGCGGCGCACACGGCGGAGGAGGGGCGGCGCAGGCGGACGCCGCAGGAGGCGTGTGGCACGATGACAAGAAGGCGGCGGCAGGGGCGGCAGATATCACACTGGGCGGCGTGAAGCGCGAGGCGGGCGCCGAAGAGGCGCCGGCAGACGCCAAGCGGCATCGGGTGCAGTAGGCTGTGAAGCTGCGGCGGCACCAGCCGCCGTTGTAGTCTAGCAGACACTCATTTTGTTTGGCACCATTTGAGCTCAACCTCCTGCTGCTGGCCCTGTATACGGTTTAGTCTGTAAAAGCACACCAAGTCTTTGTGCAGCCGTGGGACTGGCGGGAGTTTGTCTGGATCAGAGGTCATGTTGTTCAAATCGCAGCATGGAATGGCATGTAACGGGTAGAGGAGGTACTACAAAACACGTTCATGTCATGGCCGTTCCCTGTGCTGGTGTTTCTGGCCTGTGAAACGTGCGGTTCAGTCATCCAGTTGACCGGTACACTGATCTCAGAACGCCTGACGGCCGCAAGCTGGTAATCATGGCAAACCTGAGTCTATCAGTCATCACCACTCGGCATTGGACCTCTTAAATTACTCCAAGCGAATCCACTTGTCTGGTTCACGTTTCGGGCTGCACACCCGTGGCCACACGGATGTACAGCACGAGGCAACCAAGGCACGAATTTGACAAGCAAATTCCCACAACTTTAGATCAGTGAGCTCACGGATATCTTGGGCAGCTCAGCGTGCGGCGCATCAGAGAGGGTCACCCACTGATGGAGGAGGAGGCGCCACCCGACTGGAGCGGCCAGGCAGACGCCGACGCCTTTGCAGCAGATGATGACGACCCAGAAATACTCCTTAACCGTTCCGGCAGTGGTCGCTTACCCCAGCGGCCGGCGCGAGCGCATTCAGTTCCCGCGCCCGGCCCGGGTGGACTGACACACCTGGGAGGTCAACTTGTATCCAGTTGGGTGCCCCAGATGCAGCAGCAGCAGCCCCAGCAGCAGCCCCAGCAGCAGCAGCAGCAGCAGACGTACCATCACCTCCCTGGGGCAGCGTTGAGCTGTGCTGGCGCCATGCTCCCAGCGCCCCACTTTGCGCAGCAGGCCCAGGCCCAGCAGCTGCTGCATGAGCAGCTGCAAGGAGCTCAACTCGCCCACCAGCAGGCTCATGGCGTGCAGCTGCACGTACCCCAGCAACTTCTTCACCCACTTCAGCAGCAGCAGCACCACTACCACCAGCTGCAGCAGCACCACCAGCAGCAGCAGCAGCAGCAGCAGCAGCAGCAGCAGCAGCAGCAGCAGCAGCAGCAGCAGCAGCAGCAGCAGCAGCACCAAACATCTCGACTACCGCCCGTATCGGACGCAGCCGCCCAGCTTGCCAAGCGTGACGTTGAAGCTGACCCAGGCGATGGCGCCGACGATCTCCCTTTGTGCGCAATGACCCATGAGCTGCTGCGCCGCAGTGCAGCAGGCGACATGGAGCAGCGGCCAACGACAGTGGCACAGATTGAGGGCGCGATGTTGCGCGATGGCATCATTGCGCGGCGGGAGCAGGCAAAGCAGGCCAGTGCTGGTCCGGGCGAACAGACCGCGCAGCACAACTTTGGCGGGCCAGCGTCGGGCACGCCCATTCTCATCGGCCCTGTCAGCGGCCCGCACAGCATTCACCAGCAGCAGCAGCAGCAGCAGCAGCAGCTGTTCTTGTACGCTGTGGTCACGTCTGGCAGCTGGAAGGGCGGCGATCGCCAGGGCGGCGCCCGCAGGTACATGGCGGCCGTGTACCCTGGTGATGGCCTGGCTGAGCAGGTGCGGCAGTACAAGAATGAGACCAAGCAGCGCAAGGCCGCCAGCATGGCCGCCAGCATGGTCGCCGCTGCCGCCGCAGCGGCCACTGCCGCAGCCCCAGCCACCAGCGAGGCGGAGGGGCAGCAGCAGGAGCAGCGGCAGAAGGCGGCGCCACAGCAAGAGGGGAAGCGGCGGCAGCGGCATGCACGGCAGGTGGCCGGCGGCGCTGGAGGCGTGGAGCCACCCCTGCAGGGGCTGAAGCCTTGGGATGACCTGGTGCCGGGGGTTTGGCTGGCCGACGCTGCCTTCTACTGCTACACCAGCGGCCCTGTCGGCAAAAAGTAGGCGCAATGCGAAGGATGGCCCGCATGCCTGCCAGACCTTGATGTGGGGCGTGCGCCCCATCCAAGCGCAGGGCCGATTTCGCTTGATATGCGCGCGTGGGGCATTGGCAAAGTGATGTGTAGGGTGCGTTGTGACAGTGATATAGGGGTGTGATGTCGGCACGATTGCCATGCAAAGCCCTCTCCCACCCCCCAACCACCATGTGGTGCAGGCGCAAGGCCGCCAGTGCGCCATCCGTCCTGGGTGGCCCTTTGGCAGCAGTCCAGTCAGCGGGTGCCGCGCTGTCCATGCGGGCCGCACCCTCTGCGAGCCAGCAGAACATGCAGGTGCAAGTCAGTGCGTACCCACAGCAGTCGCACTTGCTGCCCCCAGGGGGTGCAACGTACCAGCCGCAGCATGGCGCTGCTGGCGCCTCGCCGGCCAACATCATGCCACCGCATGGCATCAGCGGTGCCGCAGCAGCCATTCAGCAGTCATGGCCGGGCTTTGCACGGCCTTCAGCAGCAGCAGCAGCAGTAGCAGGGGTCATGCACAGCCAGCAGCAGGTCGTGGCGTTTCCCGGCTGGATTGAGGCGGTCCCATCGCAGCAATCGGCGGCGATTCAGACGCGTGGCATTGGGAGCGGCATCGGCAGCGGTGGCCCATCCGGCGGGCCGATGCAGGGAATTTTCCAGGGTACCACCATGAGCGCCTGGGAGTCTTCACATTTGCTGCTTGCGCCGGCCTCACAGCCCACTGCTGCGCCCAGCGCGTTTGCAGCCGCGGTATCAAGCCCTGACCTTTATTCCTCGCTGCTTCTAACAGAGGCAGCCATGCCGCCGCCACAGCAGCCAAGCATGCAGCCTGCGATGACCGCTCCATTGAGCACCCTGGGCTCGCTGCTCGTGCAGCCCCACGGCGACCTGCATCTGTCCCCTCAGCTTCCTGCAGCCGAGGCAGCATCAGGTGCGGCGCCGCCGCCTGCGACCGCCGCGGCGGCGGCGGCAATGGTGCCGCCGCCGCCTGCGCCGGCAGCGTGCCACCCCGTGATGTCTCTAGAGGAGCTGGAGGCACTGCTGGCAGAGGCCAGGCGGTTTGCAGAGAGTGGCTTGGCCCCCAGTGCAAAGCCCGCAGCGCAGCAGCCTGGCCCTGAGGAGAGTCATGCGTGGGCAGCGCCGACCGTGCCAGCCGTGCTGACGCAGAGTGGCGGCGGCGGCGGCCCCATCTTCCCCAGCGGCGGGGGTGGTGATCGTGGTGGTGGTAGCAACAGCGTCGCGGCTCTGGTGCGGGATGTGGAGCGGCTGGTGGTGGCGGGCGAGGCGCTGCAGCCGCTGCGGTCCAGCACTGAGAGGTACCTGTGGCTGGCCCTTGACGCCCTGGACGTCGGCCTGGCAGAGCAGCTGGTGCGGCAGCTGGAGGGAAGCTGCGGGGTGCAACTGGCGGACCTGCGGCACAAGATTGGCAGCCGCAACGTTCTGCACATGCTGGCCACGCGGACGGGGTACTGGTGGGTGGCATGTGCTGGCATGCAGGCGCGCAGACCAGCGGGGCGGGGCCGCGCTGGGCGCCCCAAACCTGTTGGTGCAGTAAGTGCGTCGCAACCGTCGTGGGGTATGTATTGCTCTCAGTTCCCCAAACAAAGCTGACACGCTGAAGGCATGACAATATGATGAAGGCATACCGTGCGGCTGCCCCCTTCACAATCTATTCGAGAACACCGCACCGCGCGCAAGCGCCCACAACAGTTGCATTACCTCACCAACCAAGTGCTGCGTCTCCCCTTTCGCCCCTCAACACAGGCCGCCCGACAAATCGCGCCAGCAGCTGCTGCCCCCTCGGCTGCCCCCTGGGTCCGAGGCGCCCCTTCGCCAGCAGCTTCTGGCAAGGGTGGTCGACCACCTGGGAGATGACACGGCTCGCGCCCTGATGCGGCAGCCCAACAACAACGGCGCCGTGCCCTTCTTCACGGCGTGCCACTTCTGCATGCCGCCTGTGGTGGAGTTCCTGCTGCGGCGGGGGCTGGTGGTCTACGACGACCTCACCGCACAGACAGGAGGCAGAGGTGCGGCACACAGCCTGCTGCACGTGCACGCATGCGCACGCGTGCACGCATGTATGCACACATTAGCATGCATGCACAAGACTCGTTGCAGCATGTTTCTGTGCTGTGTGCATTATTAGTGCATGACAGACATGTTGCCATCATGCACCTGCTCTCATCCAAGTTTAATGTGCACGCGGCGTTTGCGCCAGCTGCAGCATTGCCTCTTGAACCCTCTAGCTCAACCCCGCCTGCCTGGCTGCGAACCTCCATCCTTCAACCGCCCTAGGCAAGCGTTGGATCCACGTCGCCAGCACCGAGGCCGCGCAGCAGCCCCAGCACGCGGGCGACTACGAGCACTGCCTGCGGCGCATTCTGAGAGCAGTGCCCACCCTGGCCCTCGACGAGGCGCGGCGGCTCGCGGCCCAGGTCGAAGGCGGCAGAGGCTGCGGTGATGACGGCGGTGGCGGTGTTGGCGGTGGCGGCAGTCAGGGCGGGGGCGGGGCCGCGGGAAGAGAGGACGTAGAGGCGGCGGCGCGCCAGCTGGCAATGTTGGCGGTGCGCGTGCACGTGGGTTGGGAGGGGAGGGGAGGGTCGCCTAGCTACGACGGCGCCCTCCAGCGTTGCCTGGTGCGGGAGGAGCTGGGGGACTACCTGGGGCCCGCGATGCTGGCCAAGGCGCTCGGGACACAGGAGCAGTAGGCACGATCCGCGATCCGGCCGGCCAAAACGCTGGCAGGTCAGCCCCCGTTGCGTGGCGGCCAAGTGTTGCAATATCCAAAGAGGGCGGGGCGATTCGCGGCCTCAACGTCGCCTGCAGTGCCGCAAACGGCCCGGTTCCGATGCGTGAGGTGTTGCGCGGCACGCGTGCCTGCTGTGCAAAAGTTGTCGACCTGCAGCATCCTGACCACTGATGCGTCTCGTTTTGTTGCTGCATGGGTTGAGTGGATGAGGAGCAGGTGCCCAGGTATATGCCATAAATCCGCTGTGTAATCAGTACATAACAAGAGCGCGCCCATCGGTAATCGCATGTGAGCCCGCCCCCTGCCCCTGCTCTGTGCGGGGGTCAGGCGCCCAGGCGGCACCGGAGGCCGCATCCAACGGCTGCATCATGTGCGGACAGGGTGCACACAACACAGCATGTAATGAAACATCATTCCAACTGCCGCGGCACGCACCTCCCCAACGCGCACGCGCCCCGCGCGCGCAACCCGATGCAACCCGGCGTAACCCTCGGGTTACGCCGGGTTAACGAGGGCGCCCGTTGGTAGGGGTGGCAGGATTAGCACACACGGGGCCTGCCCGCATCTGCCCAGCAGTTGGTGTCGGTTGCGCTTCAGAGCCTCGAGGACTCGGGGCAGGCTGCGGCTGACGCCCTGTGTTGGGTGCGGGCTCGCCCTGTGAAGCTGTCAGTACTGCTCATCTGCATGCATCAATGTATCAAGTGCACTCCAACAACTGCGGAAGCCCAGGATATGTACTGAAGTACATTGATGCATGCACAAAGCTCGTGACTCCAGGCCGCGCTCACAAAAGATATTCGCTCATAGCCCATCGTTGGATGGTGTACGGCGTTCATGCACGCGTGTATGCGCATTGCTACCGGCTGGGGGACGCGCCACCCATGGGACGTTTGGCAGCTCTGCAAAGCATGTTGCAGATGCTGATGGTGAGAGCACGCCGCAGGCAGGCCGACTGCTGGGGGCAGTGCCGCTTGCGGTGCCACCTGCTGGCACCAGTGAGGGGACCGTGCTTATCAAGGAGCACGTGCTTGCTTGGGACGCAGATTGACCCCCAGCCTCTGCACTTGAAAGCCCCCACCAAGAGCGCAGTTCAGCCGTCATGTTGTCCGGGTTAAAAGTGTGAAGTCACAAAGCCAGGATGCAACGTCAGTAAAAAATGGGATGGTGCACAGTTCAACGACAGCCATCAGCCATCAGCCTCCTCTATCCGTGTACTGTACCCATCTACTTGATGAGTGCGGGTGTGAAACTCCGTCGTGCGACTCGCTCTGTGCCCTTGAGATAACTCGAGATATGCATGCCTGCACAGCCTCTGAATCAGTCCTGATGGACTGCCGGGTTTTGTCGACTGAAGGGTGGTTCTCGAGGCGTGCACGTTCACCTGCTGTAATGCAGGTTTACAGCGCAACGGTATGGCAAATCATCCACGCACGCAAATGCCATACCTGCGTGGGCTGCACACAGGCTGCCACGTGTCGGAGGCACCCACTGCCAGCAGAGCACCACGTAGGCCGGCCCCAATCAAGGCCAAACCGATGGGGAGTGGCCGTCTAAGCAGTGCAGGCGGCATCGAAAACAATATCTAGCAGTTTACAGAGTATAACTCATTCCAAGGGGGGGGGGGCATTGGCGCCGATCTATCCAAACGTTGACACGGTACGATGAGCTTCGTCAGACACAGCTCCATATAACCAATTGGATTTTGGGCATTACATCGGAATTTTTCATAGAAGCTTGGCTGCCTGCTGCGGCGAGTTGATTGATGAGCGCTCGACAAAATCAGGAGCATCGCGCCGTCTGGACCCGTACTTTTGGCTGAAAGAGTTCCTGCCAGCAAAAAAATAGTTGGATTGCCCAGCCTGGCTTGGATTGAGCAGCATCCGTAGAACGGCGCAGGATGGTGCGCTGGGGTCTCGCCACTCGTGAACTTGCGCGAAGTATGAGCTCTAGTGAATAGAACGTCGGTGCTAGGTGCGTTGGGGAAAGACCCAGGGAGCAGAATCTTCGTGCACGCAGCGATTGAGGCCCCCGTGCAGTCTCAAACTGCGACAACGAATGCATATACCATTTGTGGATGGTGACCGGGGGGCGTGCGTGCCTGGCGGGGTGCCCCCCCAAAGTAGTCAGGTTCGGCGTTCCGCACCTCGCACAGCGTGCGGTGCTGCTGACCACTCTCTGCCACGCCCACCGCCGCATGCATGCAGTAATGGCCGACACGGGGATTGGAATGGGACCGGTACCTGCGGGCGACATAGCCGGCAATGGCGACTGCTTGCCCCTTACTGCCGCCGCCAGCACGGCCAAGGATTTGGGGACGTCTGACGGCCAAGCGGCCACCACGGGTGCGCAGGCATTGCGGTTGCGTGATCTCCTCGCAATCAGGTAGCAGCGAAGCATTGTGTAGCGCGTGCTTATGACCATTTTGACATGACTACAGATGCACCCGTGGCGCCCCTGGGGCGCTCCTTGACGCACACGTCACGTGCCCACGCGCGCCGGCCCCAACTTGACCGGCGCAGGGGCAGCGTTTCAGCAGTCCGGCGACCCCGGGGGATCCGTTACAGCCTTCACACTCGGCTCCCAGACGGCACCAGCGGCACACCTGCCGCCCGAGCAGCAACAACAGCAGCAGCAGCAGCACCAGCAACAGCCGAGCCCGCAGCCCGAGGCACCCGAGCCTTCGCTTAAACAGGAGGTGGAGCAGCAGCAGCAGCCGCAGCATCGGCGGCAGCAGCAGCAGGAGCACTCGCAGCAGCAGCAGCAGCAGCAGCAGCAGCAGCAGCAGCAGGTGCAGCAACAGCAGCAGCCTACTAAGCCGGCACGCCCACAGCAGCGGCTGGGGCCGGCCCCGAGCGGCCCTGGGCCCGCGCTGGGCCAGCGCGGCAGTGCGTTTGGCCGCTACACGCCTCGCAGCCAAGAGGCTCAGTCGGCGCATCCGCACCCCGCGCATCGCCGCCACCACCACTACCACCATCACCACCACCACCACCACCGCTCCACCGGGACGCCGCACCAGCGGCAACCGTCTCCGGTCTCGCAGCCGCGGCACTACCAGCAGCCTTCGCCGTCCCCCCAGCCGCAGCAACAGCCGCCCGTGCCGGCGCCGGGGCAGGCCGCGCACCCCCACGGCGCTGGCGCCCCCCACCTGCCCGCCCCCCCGCTGCACGCCAACCCTGCGGCGTACGCCGCGCTCGCCGCCGCCGCCGCCGCCGCCGCGCAGCAGCCGCTGCCCGGGGCGCCTGCTGAGCTGGCGGCCCAGATCGCCGCCATGCAGCACCACCAAGCCGTCGTCGCCGGGATGCTACAAAACATACACCACACCTACGCGGCGC